ATAATTATATTAAATATTATATTTAATTTTTTTCTGAGTGTGAAGGTTAAGTGATACAAGAAAATTTGATTTCTGAACTATCAAGTAGTATTCATACTTGGAATGCCGATCTCTCGTTTTACAGTCTCTAACAGAGTCATGTGTGTAAATTGGTATGGGAAAACTGTTTAAGGTAATAATGGTTATAATCTAGTTAAAAACAATAGGTCAAATAATGATAAAGAGTTATTACAAAATTAAAGCCCAATCTTATACCATGTCTTTTAAAGGCATGCTGTTAATAGGAAGCAAAAAGTTATTACGTTGAGCATGTAATGATGAGATCGCAATAGAATTAAATAGTTCTATTTCATGAAATAATTTTATCTCATTATCTAAAATAAAATGAACTGTAGCGTTTGGTCGAATGATGAAAGTAAAATGCTGAGAAGACAGTGAAAGTAAAAGGTCGGCTGATGTTGTCCTTCTCCAGGTGTTCCAGATTGCGTATGTGATTGTGAAAGCCGCTAACTCCCCTCGACCTGGAAATTGGATCTTGGAGCGCTCTCTGGATGATGTGGACTATAAGCCGTGGCAGTACCACGCCGTGACCGACACCGAGTGTCTAACCCTCTACAACATATATCCCCGCACCGGGCCACCGTCGTATGCCAAAGACGACGAGGTCATCTGCACTTCATTTTATTCCAAGATACATCCCTTAGAGAATGGAGAGGTAAGAGGAGAAAAGCACTATCAGTGCACTTAAATAGGCCTGTCAGACAGACTTGAATATATCAGTAATTAATGTCAGGAAGACTTTAAAATCTGATTTAGCAAAAGTACATTTAGATGAGTTATTAAATGAGAAAGAAAAATTCAAGGTGATTAGAATTTTAACTGCCTTCATCAAATATGTGTCTCCTATCTCCAATAGAGATCAGAGCAGAGGAAATGGGTTTAAGTCAGAAAGCCAATGATTAATTTTACATATAAGGAGAATTTCCTGACAAGTGGGATTGCTAATGATTAAGGTGTTTGGAGGCTGTAATGGACAATGAAGGCTTAGCTGTGTCTTCTCTAGTCTGAAGCTGTAGGTGAAAAAGGTGGCTTTGTACTCTACACACTAAAGACCACCATAGACATTGGAGATAGGATATATTTGAGTAGATTTCTATCACTTTTCTCTTGATTTCAGTGTTTACCGAGGTTGCGGTGTAGCCATAGGGAGTTACACTGCTAACTTAAAGGTGACTGGTTTCTATCGACCAGCAGCTCCACAGGAGAAAGATATATAATCTCCTGTGTCATTTACAGCCTCCAAAACATACTGGTGTGTTAACTATGATTTGGTTCCTTATTATTCCTAAGCTTTCTGCTGTTGAGTCAGTTCTTACTTGTAGCACTGCTCTGTGAGGCTTCTAAGCCTGAAACCCATCATGGGTGAAGACTGATCACTGTTTGCCCCAGAACTAGTAGATTCAAATGGCCAGAGACGTGCAGCTTTCGGACTCGCAGCCAGGTTCACTATGGTCTGTGCTACCAGAACTCTCCCAATATATATCCAGTGTTTTGAAAAAGACAAAAAACCCTATACTTTAACTTTTTTAAAAAAGTGATCAACAAAGAAATATTGTACAAAGCAATATAAATATATCTAGTTAATTGTTTTAAGTAATGTACAAACCACTAACTCATGCTGGCCCTACCTTGTTAATTCTCCATTCTTTAACTCATGTTAATTAACCAACATGGAAAAACAAGGAGCGGTATCTATTTGTTGTTTAACTTTACTTAACTTTTAAATAGAAATTTTATTCTGCTTGTAAGAGAAACAGAAGTAAGATACTTTTTAATTTTTTGTTTATTTTAATTAATATTGACAGAGATTTTGGATTTCCATTCATTCATTGTTGCACTTTTCTCCCTGCCCACCCCTCAGCCCCTGCCTCAGTTAGGTCCTCCCCTTGAAAAGTAAAAGAAAAATTCCTTCATTCGTATACAATCTCCCCACCCCCATGGACTCCACTATGCAACCTTGATTCGGGACTCTTGTGATAACCATAATACCCAATCACATATCGCTTTTAAACTGCTCTCTCCCTCATTTGTTTCAATGCAGTAAACATAATTTATCCAATTTTTCTCAGTCTTTTCCCAACCCCGATGTCAGTGCCATTCTACAACAGTGGCACTATGCAGTATTTGTCCTTTTGTGACTGAGATATTTCACCCAGCATAATGTCCTTCAGGGTCATCCATTTTGAATAATATAGAATGAGTTCCATTGTGTGAATATACCAGAGCTTCTCTATCCATTTGTTTGTTGATGGGCACTTAGGTTGTATCCAACTCTTCGCTCTTGTGTACAGCAACCACTATAGAAGGCTGTATGGCACTTTCTCAAAAGTTTGCAAATAAAAATACCATTTGACCGAGAAGTTCTACTACTGGGAATATACTCTAAAGAAACCTTAACTGCCACTGAGGCAGATATATGCACACCCATGTTTATTGTGATTTTGTTTACAATATAAGCATTATACTTAAGGACAACTGTTAAACATGACATTCTGAAATAAATGTGTCTCAATTTTAACACAATAATAAAGTAGTAACATTTATGTTTCAGCAGTAAAGCATAGAAACAAATCATTCTTCCTTGAATAACTTCAGATAATAAGTCTACAGTGTTTGGGTTGTCACTTTTGTGGAGAATTTTGGGGATAAATTCTAAAGCTTTTGATTATTCAAAATGTTATATTTTGGGTGATGTCCAAAATTTTAATTGCATAATTTTAGAACTGAAAGATAATTTAGATAAACCTCTCATTCATTTTTTCTTGTCTGGGCTTCAGGCTCTATATCTAAATTGGGGTCCACTGTCTTCCCATATCATCACTGCATAACACTCAGCCTTTCCTTCTGGCATCTTACACCTTAATGATACGATCTCTGCATATTTCTTCAAACTCATTGATACTGTTACCTTTACACTTCTCACCTACCCCCACAATCTTTCTCAACCCCTCTCCTCTCTTTAATTGAACATTGCCAGTCTCAAGTCAATAAATATTAATCATGCAGCTTTACAGAAAAGGTATTCTAAATTCCTTATCCAGTCCTCTAGATAAATATACTTAGCTAATATGGAAAACAAAACAAAACTAATTTGCTCTCAGGGACCTCTCTAGAGTACTGAGAAGCAATGATGTCAGTCTAGAGACTAAGGTGTACCTGATCCAGACCATGGTCTTCATATTTACTTTGTATACATCAGAGAGCTGGACAATGACTTAGAATGACAGAAGAACAATTGATACCTTCAAGTTGTGGTGCTGAGAAGAGTCTTGAACATACCATGGACATCCAAGGAAACCAATAGTTCTGTCTTGGAAAGGGTGAAATCAGGTTTCTCCTTGGAGGCTAGGATTTTGACATTCTGTCTCACATACTGTGGCCTTGGAGAAGGACATCATGTTTCGAAGGGTGGAGGGACAGTGTAGGAGAGGAAGACCTTGGGTGAAATGGATTGATACAATAACAAGGGCAATAGGAGTAGGTGTGTTAAAGTCAATGAGTCTGGCTCAGAATAGGACTGGCTTCAGAGCTGATATGTGAGTCACAGGTCACTGGATTCAGTGGCCCATAACAACATCGAGAAAGAGTTGCAGATACTGAGTCTACCTGCCTGGTCTTCTACACAAAGGAGGAAGACAAACTCTGAGCTATGAGAGAACCACAAACGTATCAGGTATCAGAGCCTAACAAAGGAAAGCTTAGTGATAAGAAGCTGAGCTGGCGAACTAAAAGCATTCAGTTCTAGACCACTAGCTGCTCTGCTGGAGAAAGATGCGTGATTTTCTCATGTACAATTAACTGTCTCTGAAAACCCATGAGAGGGTCAGTTATGGGTTGGTTCTAACTCAACACTACATGGCAACAGCAACAGATTAGCACTGTGTGCTATTATTATACAGGCTATAAACAGAAGGAGATGTTGAGCAAAATAGTCTTCAAAGTGTTTAATTTCAAATCATAATTTTGTATCATTCATGTCATGATACAATTTACTACCTGACAGGTCTTGACATAATGACACTGAAATCTAGTAGAAATTGTGGACTAAACAATATACTACAAGTGTTTCTATTATTTTGAAGCAGTAAGAGAACAACTGTGGTGGGAGAAACTAAATAAGAACCGACTGCTAGCTGACCCTCCACTGGATTTCCAAGCATATATTTTGCCCTGGAGGAGGTTGCCTATCTTTCTCCTACAGAGCCTTTGGTGCATTAGAATCATCAAAAAGTGCTTGAGTCCCCCTACAGACTTACCCAACAGATTTCCCTCCAGTGGGAACAGCTACAATTGTAATACCCAACTGTTGCCCTTGAGAGCCAACTCCATCAAAAGCTGTTGTCATAGCCTAAGTGTTCTCTTTTCTTAAAATAACTGCTCCAAGATAAGATTAAGAACTGCCAGTCCAAGTTGCCCCTTGAAATTAGCATTTAGATCTGTACTTAAAACACTGGTTCCTCCCGAACTTCCCTTTATCTGGAAATCATCAGAGAGCAAATAAAAAAAATTGTTTACTAAAAAATGTTATTTCAGAAACAGCTTTAAGTCAGTTAATTTGTTAAGTCTGAGAGATTTATAAAGCTGTATGTATATTTTAAGCAAATATTTTTGTCATTTTGATGTCTCTACAACTGATGTACTGTTCAGTATGTCTAGGGAAAAGACTAGAAGACCAACTATCTAGCCAAGCTGCCTGTTATTCTAACTAACCAACTAGATACTGATTGTTTTTTTTTTGGGGGGGGGTCAGGAAAAATGATAGGCTTTATTGGAGATAAAGTCTCATGTGGTTGAATAAACAAACTTTGAGCTATAACTAAGTTATCTAACTTATACTTGAAAATGTGTCTGGGAGTAGAGAATCACATTAATAATATTGAGAAGGATAGAGCTGTATAATTGGCACTGCTTTAGGGATTCTATAATTCAAATGGTAATCGGTGTTTTTCCATTAGGTGAGATTCTCTTCTTTCTATTACTGAGATTATTACTTTTAATTTCTTCATGTTGTTACAAGACTACTAACTAAATATTCATGGTTACCATAGTGATTTTTGCGTCAGTTCCCTCAGACAGAGACCTTTCGATATTTACATATGATTTCCTCTCTTTCTTTCTACAACCCTTCCTACATTCCTGGACTATAACTCAAATGCAACTTAGATTTACTTTGATTTTGCTTTTGAAATATGGCAGGCTGGCACATAACCCTCTAGAGAAACCATCATTAATTTTTGAAGACACTTTAAAAAAAAAGTGAGAGCTTTGATATTATTTTGATTTCCTATGTGACAGAATTTTATATATATAGTGAGAATATTTTTTCCTTCTTGTTTTTCATCACCTAGCATTATGGTGAATTGCAAATACTTGAAAATGAAGAAATGAACCAGGACTCTATTGGAAAATGTTTTGGAGATTCTCCTTTGAAGTAATAATGTTAAGCATATAACATGATTACACATGTAAAGAAATGAGGGATTGAAATAAGGAAATGGAAATTAGAAACTAGCCTTCAAGGAGTTCTTTCAGGAAAGCTGCAGCAAGGGATTATTATTTTCAGTTATGAATAGAGATTTAGGGATTGTAATTATTTAGAGATTCAGAATTTCCTTCTTTAGAAATTATTTTTGCATTGACCAACATGAGGTCAAT